GAAAGGCCCTGCAGGCACTGGTGGACAGGGAGCTGAGTGTGAGCAGGTGTATGTGTTGTCAGCAAAGATGACTAACCATATCCAGAGCTCTGTGGCCGGGAGCATAGCCAAGAGATTGAAGGACTTGATTACCCTTCTTTGCTCCGTACTCGTTAGCTCAGTGCTAGAGCACTGTGTCTAGTTTTAGGATCCTGAATTCAAGAAAAACATTGGCAAACTGGACTGAGGTCAGCAGATGATTGTCAGGTTGATTGAATGCCTTGATCAGCACATGAGGAAAGACTGAGACAACTGGCCTTGTTCAGCCTGAGGGATGCCTCTGAGGGGACCTAGCAACAGCAATGGCTTGCCAGGTCCTAAGAGAGGAAGACCAAGAACATGGACTGCTTTTGCTGTTTTACTGGACTGTGTTACCAGCCCTGTAGTAGTCAGTCAGAAATCCTCCTCAAACCACTCTCTCTTAGGGGTTGTAGGGTGGTACAGTTGTTATTTATAAGGAATGTCAGCCCCTAACTGTCTTTCTTTGACCATAGAAGCCTCAGTGGTAGAGACACTTTTGTCAATAAGCTATAGTCTAAAGTTTCTCAGCAGGGAAACTGTCCAGTATCTGCCAAGTCAGACTTCAGTCACTGCCACTTAAGATAAAAATTCTGGTTCTCAGCAATACATGTGAAATGTGTGGGTTATGTCCATCTGCCGTAGGTAGTAAAAAAGGCTAAGGATCAAATTGAGCTTGTCAAACTTGGGGGAGGAAGAGGTTTTGGATTTTGTTACCTGTCTCAAAGACAGAAGTTCTCGGGTAGCCTAATTCTCAAGACACTGCCAAATCTCTGTTAATTAGTGATTTTTTTTTTAAAAATCAAGATTACTGAAACTGTTTTGTTTGTCCTGCTTAAGCAGTGAAGAATGCAGCTCCAGTTGTTCCTGCCTGAAATAGATCCAATTTTATTTACTGAGCTTTTTCTGGGATCCTGGAGGTGCACAACAATAGGACCAGTGAAAGATTTGCTGGCCAGCTGCTGTATAAAACAGGTTCAAATTACATCAGCTTGCTCAGGACCTTGTCCAGACGGGTTCTGAATACCTCCAGCCAAGGATGAACACTCCAGAGCATTTCTTGGCAGCCTGTTCCAAGGTTTTAATACCATAATGTGTTTTGTTTGTTCTGTCAGAGGTTTTTTTTACAAACCAATTCCTTATAGGGAGTGAATTGCCCATGCTGCAGCAAGTTTCTGTTGCCTCTCACCCTAATCTCACGCACCTCCAAGGGGAGGCTGGCCCTGTCTGTGCTTCACCAGTCCCCATGGCCATCGCACTCTCCCGGGAAATCTCCTTTCCCCTTTTCTTCTCCAGGCTGGAGAAGCTCTTGCAGCCTCTCCTGGCAGGTCTGTGCTCCAGCCCCCACCGTCCTCTGCAGGCCTTGCTCCAAGATGTCACATCTTTGTGCTCCTGTGCCCACCGGTCCAGATCCAGTTTCTCCAGCGTGGAGTAGGAGGGAAGAGCCTCTTTCCTGGGCTCGATGGCAAAACCTGTGCTAATGCAGCCCCTTTTGCAGCTGACCTTTGCTATGGCTGCCTTACCCTTCAGAGTCCTTCTGCCCTTGTTGTCTGTCCCTCAGGGCCCCCAGCTCCTCTCCTGCCAGTCTGTTTTGTACCCCAGCGATGCCCACCTGTCCCCCTGCCCGGTGTGACTCCACGCCAGGAGCAGAGCTTTTCCTGTGCCCACCTTCACTGTGCTGAGGTGCTGTCCTGTCTGTGCAGCCTGTCAGGGTCCCTCTGCCCAGCCCTGCTGCCCTGCCTGGCCTGGGCTCGGCACTCTGGGAGCCTGAGGACAGCACTCAGCCAGGAGCAATGGAGCCAAAGGCAGCGTGGAGCCTTCTCTGTGGCTTTGGACGTGAGCAGCAGAACCAGAGCCGCACCTGGGCTTTTCTTTAGCTCTCCTTCTGCTGCTCATCTTCTTGCAGAAGGCTTCCTCATTGCTGTCCCCAGCCTGCTGACTGCTGTCATTGCCTTCCAAGCTGTCGTACTGTGACAGCCATAAAAGCTTTCCAAAGGTGTTTGTATCCCAGAATTTGTAGTGTTGCAGCTGTTCCTCGGTCTCCAATTCTGTCTCACAAGCCTTGCACATCTGTTTACAGGCAGGTGTGGTGGGGCCCCCACGCTGTCTCCCATCATGTCATTCCTTCCACACTGTCCACATTGCCCCCACTTGCAAGTTGGCCATTTTTTTGTCATCACTGATAAAAAATCTTGTGAAAATCAAAGATAAAAATCTATAATTTAATAGCAATTGCTTTTTAGTAATTTATAAAAGTTTGAAATGTTTGAATTTTCATACTAGAAAGATAACTGCAGCATCAAGAAGGACACTGTCTTACTAATGTTAATAGTAATCTCTTCCAGTTGTCCATGGAATTCTAAGATAAAGTATAACTACATATGTTCAAAACCATAGCTGATGAGATGCTGGTTCTGCTGGGTGCTTTCTGGAGTTTTGTCAACTAGAGAAAGGCCAGAATGGAGAATTGAAGTATTGAAGCACTCTTTTTGCATTTATAGTCAGAACTTTAGTAGAAGAGTGTACACCTGCACGGAGCCATGAACTTTTCTGTTAGGGCAAACCATGAAAGGGAAGGAATTAGGCAGACTGCACAGATCCTTATCACATACGCACTGTCATGCCTCCAAAAGATTATCCCAGTAGTAGGGTGAGAAAGCAAAGGACTGAGAGCTGGCAAAACTGGCCTGATCTTTGATCTTGCCCAAATCCCATGTGATTTGCTGTGCTGTGACCATAACACATCCCTAGAGAAGAATACAAACACAGCAAGTACAATTCTTCTCTCAAATGCTCTCCCAGCCTGTGGCCATTTGCAGTTCAAGGAATTAGATGCAGCTTTGTCTTTGGCTGAGTTTAAAGTGTTTGTGCTTTTTAGCATCTTGTAATATTTAGCATCCAGTTTGGTTAAAGGAATGGAATAGGAAATAACCCTTTCACTTTCATGTGATAAAAGATGTCAAAGTGTGGAATAAAAATATTTATTGAAAGTTTCTGCTGCTTCTACAAACTTCCTAGAAATTTGATTAGATCCTGGTCTAGTGCCCATTGAGCCAGCCAGAAAGGTTGTGTCATCTGTGCTGCACAGGCTCTCTCCTAAGGGCCCTGTAGGCCATGCTGCACCCTATGCCCAGGGGGTTCACAAACTGACTCTGATGGCACTTGGCCTTAAAGGTCTGAAACTACTTTCTTGGTCCAGAATTTTTAATTGACTGTAGCACACCATCATTAATTTCTTCAGGCAAGGAACTGAGGAATCTTTTAATCTGTGCAGAACAAGAACATTGGGGTGTTTTGTTGTGTCCAAAGATCTGCACTCAGTGCCTCGCTGCCCTTGCTCTGCAAGCTGTCAGTTCCTTGATGTTTCCAGGGTAATGCTTGCTCTTCATGCTCATGTTTCTTTTATTATGCTGCTGATACTAACATTCTGAGAAAGCATATAAGCAGTTAAAACTATAATGGTTTGCCTAAAGCTGAACAGAGTTTTTGCTCTGGTTTCTACTTTTCCAAAGTATCTGTGGTTTCTGCTTTTCCAACGTTTTAGTCTTGCTATAAGTAGAGCAGGTATTCTACCATCTCAAAACAAAAAGAGTCAGTTGAAAGAGACATTTATTTAATAACCTTAGTCTGTCTAAATACAGCAAGGAGAAATTGTTCGTTGTTAGGCTGGAAAAGCAAATTAGGAAAGGGATGGCAAAACCCTGTAAAACATAGCAAAGTTGCCTAGGGAATGCCTTCCCACTGCTGCTCCAGCAGTGCAGGGAAATGGCACCAAAGGAAACTCACTCATGGCAGGTTCCAAAGGAGCAAAAGGAGGTTCTTCCTCCCATATTGCCTGCTGAGGTTCTGGAACACTCTGCCTTGGACTGGTGCGGATACTGAAAGGCGGCAACTTTGAAATCTGGTCAGAGGCACAATAGCAGGAGAGCCAGCTGTTGGCATGACCTCTGCAATAGTTCTCATGTCCTTGTTCCAAAGGGAACACGTGCATGCCTGCTGTCTCTCACACAGGTGTTTGTGCCTTACACCAGATATAAACTGTAATTTTAACTCCAACTAATTCTGTTTCTAAAGCAAAACATGAAAACCAACTCTTAATTCCTATGGAAATATAGGGGTGAATATTGTAGAAATAGAAAAGGTTGTCTAGTAGCTCTATTTTAGTTACTTACAGTACCTTTTTATGGTTTTCCTGCATGAGTTATTCCAAATTAAGAAGCAACATTTTCATTTAAGGGTATACTTACCCATTTCTAAGCTCAGTTCATTAGGTCATATTTCCAACCTACTTCATATCCCCTCCTCTGCTAACTCCCTTGTAAAAGAGAAAATAACAAGGGGGTTTCTCAATAGAACTAATATAGTTAACTAATTTATTAAAATACCAATAAAAGTTGGCAGGATCGTGAGTTGACACCTGATGGCTGGTTGTGTTGAAACTTTGACATGAAGGTCAATTTCAGCAGCAGAGGAAGATGTGCTGACAAAGGCAGGCATCCTACCTGGCAGTGTTTACTTACAGTGGGTGGCACTTGTTTTTGAAACACCAGCATGAACACACCCCACCCCCTCCCCGTTTAGTTTGGGGGATGCAGCACTTTTCTGGTTCTTAGCAGGACAAATTCACTGTAGTTTGGATTGCCAAGAGAAGTCTCCCTGGCTGCTGGTAGCTAAGCCTCAGTGGAAGAACACAGCCATGGTCCAGGCTCTGTGGATTCAGGTGGGATCTTCCAGAGCGCATTAGCCTCCGTTCTGTGCTCCTGCTCTTCAGTCTGTGCCTGTCCCACGCCACTGAGACCTGCCCCACTGTCTGGGAGCTGCTGTGGCAGGGAGAGCTCCTCTGGGCACACCTGTCTGAGGGCTGGGAACGTGTCAGTGTGGCTGTTCTGGAGCATGGCGCGTTTGTGCTCCCGGTGCTGAGGTGTTCCTTGCTTCCTTCTCAGATCCGCGAGCTGGTTCCCGAGTCGCAGGCCTACATGGATCTCTTGGCCTTTGAGCGCAAGCTGGACCAGACCATCATGCGGAAGCGCGTGGACATTCAGGAAGCGCTGAAGAGACCAATGAAGGTATGCTGTGAGAAATTTGGACATTGTATCAGGGGAGGAGAATAATTCTTGTAGTAAATGGTGGAAATACCTTTCAAGCTAAAGTCTCGTTAGCAGAAATGCTTTGGAATGGATTAGACAAAGCTCCTAAGAGTAAACAGCTGAGAATCAGCATGCATAGAAAAGTGGTAGAGAAAATTTAGTGGCCATTACCAGCTCTAGCTTCTGAAAGTCTTTAATAAGGGGAATAATAGCCTAGGGATAAATAAAGGATAGATAAACATTGGTTTGGGAACTTTGTATTAAAATGATAAAAAATGAGAAAATAAGAGATTAGAGGGCTGTGCTGAAGGTGTGTATTACTTTTCCTATTCAAATTTGGTCAAAAAGTGGAACCTGTGGAATAACAGAGCATACAATGGGAAGAATTACTTACAGAAATTATTATTTGTGTAAAAAAAAGAATGGATGACATTCTCTGCAGTTTCTATTAGATGAAGTCCAGCACTTCACTCTTCCTAATATCCCACTGAAAAGGTTTTTTCTAAGTTTTCTGAGTCTATTCATTGGAATCATGGAAGAGTTTAGATAGGAGGAAACTGGAAGTTACTTAGTTCAACCTTCTGCTAAAAACAGGATTGTCAAGGCCTTGTTGAGTTTTGAAAATCTGTAAGGATGGAGGTTTCACAGCCTTGTTAGGCAGTCTGTTACATTTTTTGCCCACTCTTATTGTGAAGAATTTCTTTTCATGTCTCATTTAAGTTCTTGTAACTGTATTGGGTAGCTCATACTCTATTCCTCAGGTAATTCCCATAGAATGAAGGGTTTTGTGGCCAGATGTCTGCTGTGACATAAAGCTATCATTCTTGTCTGTACCACAGTGATGAGGGTCAGCCCAACAAAGATCAATATTCTCTTGTCTTTGTCACTGTACAGGTACCTGATAAAATGTGGAAAGCTTTTACCTCTTGGTGTTTTTCCAGTTGATATATGTGAACAAACAAAACAGCAACAAAAAAAACCCCAAAAAACCTGCAAAACCCAAACAAAAAACCAACCAAACAAAAAACCAAAAAAACCAAAAACCAAACAGAAACCAAAACAAACAAACAAAAGAAACAATTAAGTTATTAAGTTCCATTAAGTTCCATCTACCCCTCCTAGACAGAAAGGAAACTGAATTGTGGATGGTCTAAATCATGAGTTCATTCTTAAAAAGTGTTGCACATAATAGATTTTACTCTCAGAAGAAATAATTTGTCTTACCTTCTTGATATGGGTAGAACACCATTCTTTTAAACTAGTTAGGAATCTGGCGTTATTTTAAGGTGATTGAAGACTTTGACTTAAATTCATAAATCAGCAGGAAGTTATTTATTCTGTGGTAAAGTCTTTAATGAGGGAATCAACAAGTGCACAAGGTCCTAGCTGTAAGCTGTTCTATGGAGATATTCAGGGTCTGGGATAGGGAAGAGGGTCGGAGGCACAACACTCTACAGAAACTGTAGACAGAAAATTCTATCTAGGGCTCAGCAAACACATTTTAAATATCACTTACTCAGTTAACATCTAGAGAATGATCAAACAGATGTTTTCCAAATTTGTGTGTAGGTAGTCCTAGCATACGGGTATCAGAACTGTCAAAATAGGGCTAAACCTAGATAAACATGGGTTCTTGTTAATGTTAATATTTCCATTTTATTATAGTTGCAGAATTGGTAACAGCAATAGAAGTTACCTCTGCATTTTCATCTCTTATCAAAGCTCTTGTAATTTTGAAATACTTGCCTTAGAACAGTGATTCTCAAACTGGAATTGTAATCCTATAAGAAATATGAATTTGTCTAAAGTATGTGAAATAATGTAGGGAATATGCAGGTTTTCTCAGAGTTATCAGCTGCAGCTACAGTTACAGTGTTTGTCACGGTGATTGAGCTGTAGCTAGAAACAGCTCGAAGCTGTGGTTGTAGGGAACCACAGATTTATAGTCTAGTGTTGCTCGGGCTGGGGCTTTTTCTGTCTGAAGACTATGCTGGGGAAATTTTAGGCATAAGTGGTTAAACCTTTTTTTTTTTGTGAGGACAGTGCATAAAATATGTTTGGCTTGTTGGTCCTACTTGGATCTCCTGAGAACAGGTGCACTCTTGAACCAGATGACAGCTGTGGGACGGCTCAAGAAGTGAGGAGACCTGGGGTTTGGGCAGCTGTTGAAGGGGAAAATGGCCTTCCCCACCTGTCAGCTCCTTGGACTACTGTCAGCAGCCCTCTTCAGCTGCCTGGGCAGCTTTCTGCTGCTTGGGCACTGCTGTGTGCTCTCCCCTTCTTCAGCCAGTCCTGCATTCTTGGATTGCATCTGTCATGAGAGTCTCAGAATTCCTTGTCTGCAGAGCAGCATTAGCCAGAGTCCTTGTCCTGACTTCATGGAAGACCCACGTGGTCAGAATTCCAGGAAGAACTTTAGGAGGTAGTCAGGCAGACAGGGCTGTTTGACAGATATAGCAAGCTCCATGGCCTGAAGGAAACAGAAACCATACACTCAACAGATCAGAAGATGTCAATAAACAATTAATTACTGAAAATCTATGCAGCTCTAAGGCCATAGTGGACTTTGGGAGTGAGATTTATTTGGCTAAGTATAGACATAGCCATTTCATTCATTTACGTGTGAGCTAGTCACTCTCGGCTCCCTTCATAGTTGAGAGATCAAGTTGGTGTAGACAGTGGTGTTCAGGGCACAATTTTTCTCATACACAAGTGGATGTCTAAAATAATATAGATAAATAATACCCTAAAAATGCTTATTTGTCTCCATTGTGTAACCCTGAGATAGACAGTTGTCACCATAAACATAATTTTAAGACTGAGATGATTTTCATCCCAAAGCCTGAACCAGGGTCTTCTGACTGACAGTGGGATGTGACCATGACATGAGCAGGGCTCCCACTGCAAACCCTGGCACCACAGACAGTACTTTCATCTCACTCAAACCACAGACTGGCATCCAGAGACTGTCCTTCTTTCGCAGTGAACTGGTGTGAGACATTCTGTTTACAAATATGTGTGTGGTTGCAGTTCCCAAACTAAATTATCTGCTTCCAGGTTCTCCAGTTTTAGGTGAGAAACAAGTAGTAGCATCAGAACACCATCATAGTGTCTCTCTCCCTAGTTTCATGAATTGAGATTTTTTTTCCCCACTTTCAGGTTTTAAGATGACTGAGGAATTGATATTGGATTGTTGCCAGAAAGCAATTAGGTTTTTTTTTCTGAAACACTTGTCTTGTGCCATAATTCTGTGTTCTGCTTTTTGCATTATGAGATAAGGAAATTCAAACACCTTATCTCCTTTAATCAATCAGTGTTTTAAATGTCTTTCAGGTTCTTTAATGTTCTCTTTTCTCAGGTAAAAAATTAATTCCTCCCAATCCCTGTAGAAAAATAATTTTTCAGTGCACCTGACTTCTTCTTACTACCTGTCACTATCCAACTCCTCATTGTCTCCTGAGAAAGTAGAATATACAACTACAAAATAAGCTGCTACAGCTGATTCTGTAGACTGTTGTGCATACTAATTCCCATTTGATTCCTCTGTAGCATTCGCTTCACCTTTTTTTGAGTTTTGTTGTTGCTATTTACACTTTTATAGAACTGTTAATAAGTGTTTTTCATGTGCTGGTGCAATTTTGAACTCAGTAAATACTGTCCCATTCCTTTTATTATTCATTATACTTGTGTAGTCTACCAAGTCACTGGGTTTTCTGCTTTGGGTTGGCCATTTTTAAGTTCATGTCCATTTTCTTTTCAGGAGTTACCTAACTAATTTTGTTTCCTCTACAAATTTTGACATGTCTTGCTGCTCTGAGTGAGATGCCTCTATACTCCAGCTCTGATATGGACATTCTTCATTTAATTGGGGTATTTTATAATGATCAGACAGTGGTCATTGTTTTTTCTGGCTCCTGATTTTTAGTTTCCATGCTACCACTGTTCATTTTGCTTTCTAAAAAGTTTTTTTTTTCTGTGAGACTGGAAAACAGTTACTGTATATGCAAAGGCAGAAACACAGATTTGAATCTTTTCTGTGCTTTGTGCTTGAGGTTTTTATGCTATATTGAGGTTCATAGAAATTCACCTTTAAGATATACTTAGAGAGCTCTTAACACAATACTACTTACGAGGTTGGCAGTCAGATTTTCTTGAGTCAGTCAGCAGTAGACTGTCTGCTAATAACTTTGTTTGTTTGTTTGAAATCCCAAGCACAACTTCCCTGGAAGTGTCTGGGAGGTTTTGGGTCCAGCCTGAGAGTTCATTGAAGGAAACTAACTTCAGCAGTTGATGGAGATTTATCTGGGGGATGGTACACAGATCCTGGGATCATCAGATACTTGCTTTCTGATTCGACTTGTTAGGGATTCAATACTGATGGAAATTGAAAAAAAAAAGTAACACTGTAAACCAGGGAAGGTTTTCTGGAGGATTTATTTGACAGATCTCCAGCATTTCACCCATTTAAAGCTGTATTCATTACTTAAAGCTGTATTCATTTGTGTGAAGATGACATCAGAGAACCTGGAGAAGGAGCAGGCTTTGGGTGTGCTGCTCCACCGTTCCTGTCAGCCTCCCATTCAGATCTGTTTGATTTCATGTGAGCTCACCCAGCAGTTGTGCTGAGACCCTTGCAGGAGTTCATTGCTGACATGTCCACTCATCTGTTACATTTGATTACTTCTTTCCTTTTTGTTTTCTCAAGGAGAAATTGTAAGTGAAATACATTGGGTTTCGGGGGAGACTTTTCGTTTTAATCTGAGTGCTATTTAAAGTTCCTTTTGCTGAAGCTGAGTCAAAGATCAGTGTCTTACTGTGAGGGAACAAGGAGCTCAAGTGTTTACTGATTTTTGGACAAGAGATTATTTGATTCACAAAGTTGATCAAGTCTCTGTGAAGTTCCTCCTGCTTAGCTTTGCATTTTTGGGTGGTGAAGTTCTGGTGTGTCTGAAGAGATGAAACGTGATGCTTACTTTTTGCCCTAGAGCTGTAAGTCTTCTCTTCAGTTTTTGCTCCCAGCTCCTGAGAGTCCTTTGGTTGCTTGCTCTTCTGTTCTCTGAGAATCCACCTTACAGAGAGGAGAACAGGTTTTAGGTCTGTGTGATAAAACACATGGCTGAGGGATTTACAGAATTTATTGAAGGGCTGTTGCTTCTTGCTACCACTTTATTTAAGCTGCAAAGCAATCAAGTTGCCATAAATGTTATCATTTCCTCCCTGGATGAGATGGAGTTGCTCAACTGGGGATGGAAGAAGGTGTTCCTTCTCATTCTGAGAGCCTTCTGAATATGAACCTGACATTCTTGTGGAACAGAGGGATACTGAGAGTGAACCAAATGCAGTGATTTTTGATGTGTATCAGCAACTGAAGAGACTTTATGGCCTGTTCTTTAAAACCCCACCCAGCACCATGTTGGTGTTTTTCTTTCTTGAGCTCAATTTTGACTATATCTCATCTCTGAACTGGCATCTTCCCAGACTGGACATCCTTATGATAGCAGTATGGCTGTGCATGCTGGAGCTGTTACTGGATAGATCCCTTCAGGTAGGATTCATACTGTACTCTTGGGTCCCTGCTAAGGGTCCTGCTTGCTCTCTGGTAGTTTGAATCAGCTGCCAGGAGAATAGTCACAGTAGGAGAGAAAGGGCTTAAGAGTCCAAAGCAACTGTTCCTGGCTCTAGAGCCACAGTTCTGAAATCTTGCTAGGGATTTCTAAATTTATTTTCTTTAAGTTCTACTGCATGAAGTATGCATTACCACTGTTGGTAATAAGGGCATGTAGGGCAAGTTCAAGGGCCATTGTCTAGTTCCTGGACCTGGAAGAGGAGACAGCCTCCCAAAATGTCTGGGAGCAGAACCATCCCAGGTGACTCTTACAAGAAGCCAGTGGTGCTGGTGACACTAGATGTCTATTAAGTAAAAGCCTGCTTGTGTATGTAGGTACAGTTCTGCAAGTAATCCAGGTGGGGATAAAATTTAGGAATGGTGCGTAAAATGTCCAGGGTAATTTGAAGATTTTGAGTTTAGAAATGTGAAATCCTTCACAAATCCACAACACTAAATAGAGATTTGGGGTCATTAAAATAATTATATTATGAAATAGTACTTTGGCAACAGAAATCCTGTGGGAAAAGATGGAAGAAACATGGATTCACAAGAATATTTTTCTGCTAATCTGCATGTTCTTACCTGTATAAATCTGTCATTTTCTGCAGTGATGGCACTTTGGAAAATCCTGTTCCCTGTCAGAGCATGTTGACACTCCATCTGTTGACACTCCATTTCTGTCAAACCTCTCTGTCACTGTCTTCTCCAGATTTGGCAAAATGTAGTAATTTTCCTGTTTCTCTTCAGCCATACAACTCTGCCTTCCCCATTCCTCTATGCCAGATTATGCTGTATAATCTGCTGTATGGAACTTGGTTCTCTCCTATGTGTGTATAAACTTTACAAGATTGCTCTTTCTTACATTGTTTTGTCGAGATTAACTTGACAAGTACAGCCTTTTTGACATTGTCATCTACATAGGTATTGGAGATTAGAGTCCCAAAGTCATTTTTGGTAACAATCTTTTCTGGAATCCATGCATCAGACTTAATAGCTGGGTTTTCCACATGATGCCTGGAAGGAAGGGCACTGCAAGATGACACAATCATAAGCCACTACAGTGACTGGGAAGCTTCAGGTGCTCTGTAAAATGACAATGTAGTAGCATGATTGTACCTCTGGCAGATCTTAGCAGCTGGCTTGGGGGTGAAGCAGGGTGCCTTCCTTCACACAGGTCTCCCAGCAAGCTGCTCAGGTTGAGGGCAGCTGGGCTGAAGAGGAGGGTAAGGCAGAGGTGTGTGTGTTCAGGTGTGTTCAGGTGTGTCTACAGGAGGATTGTTCCCAGGTGCTGCAGGATGGCACAGTGCAGATGGGCAGAACTGTGACTGGCAGGCAGTTCACAGCATGAGCTGTATTTGTGACTGCCATGTACAAATCTGAGCTGTGCAACGATGAAAGACATTTGTGTTGCAATAGAGTTGCAGCTGAATTTTAGCAATCTAGCTAGGTTGAAGCCAGAAAGGGCATAATATCATGCTTTACCCACAATGATTTCTCAGATATCTAATCTAGAAGTATAGGATGGATCACTTCTCAGGCATGGCAACCTCCTGTCTTCCTCCATTTACAGTGAATTTCAGTATGTTTGTATAGGCAAGAGTTTTTGAAAGGAATTTTTAGATTCAGCTCTTCAATGTATTTTCATGTAACAGAATCTTAAATTCTAATACAACTGGTGCAGCTGTACAAAACATGGAGATTCCCTATTATATGTGTAATTGTCACCTTTCCTGCAGCTTCCTCAGATCCTGAGCTTTAACTGGATATGTACTTTTCCCTTGTCTATGTGCATAACAGCAAAAGCGGAAACTGAGACTTTACATCTCCAACACATTTAATCCTGCAAAATCAGACGCTGATGACTCTGATGGCAGCATTGCTTCGTGGGAGCTGCGCGTGGAGGGGAAGCTCCTGGATGATGTATGACTTACCTCTGCTTCACTGGGGCTGGCAGGATCTAAAGGCTGTCCTTTGGGGTGGTAGGTGGGGACATCAGCAAGGCAAGACATGTCTGAATGGCAGTGTTGGCTTGTGGCTGCTGGGAAGGCACTGTGCCCAGCCCAAGTGAGGGATAAGGCCCTAATGGGAATGTTGGAGAGTGCAGCTGAAAATGAGGCAGACATAAGGACAGGATAGGTAGGAGGTTGTGGAGAGAAGAGGGCTGAGACTGATCCCTTTAAAGAGATGACGGGGTTCAGGTTACAGCAGGTAAGTGGCAATTCTGGCCTGCAGTGGACATTGCATCTTGTGAAGAACAGGGTAACAAGGAGAAGGCAGTGCTTCATATTCTTAGGGGGTACAACACAATGTATGATTGGCTAGAGCAAGGGTGAAAGAAACATTTTACCATTATGAAGTCCTCAGAAACCTCAGTGGTGGATTTAGCTGTCCTTGGGGAAGGCTGGACTTTCCTAATAAAGGCGTTCATCCATTTGAAATGACTTCACAAGCAAGCATGTATAGGCTAAACAGACTGAGAACATGCATGCATGGAGAGGGTAAGGCTTTCAGTCTGTCTGCAGCTAACTGTGCATGAATCAGAGTCTTGCTGGAGGAGGAGGTGGTGACAAAGTGCAGCATCTGGGAATTGAAGTTAGACAGATTCAGTTTAGAAATTAGAGCATAAATTTCAATAAAGAAAGAGATTCTTTATTGGAAGAACATAGCTTTTCAATTACCAGCATTTTTAAATAAAATATTATCTGCATTAAATACAAAGAAATAAATTGGAATCCTGTGGCCTGTATTCTGTGGAGAGTCAGGTAATCACAGACCTTCTGATTTTTAATATAGACAATATGAGCTGTGCACTAAGCAACAAATACAGATAATTAAATGAAAAGAAAAATCTTAAAAGGAAATAGTTTTGCTTAGTGTATGACAGTCTGCAAAATTTACTGTAATCTGATAAATCAAGAAATTAGCATTCATCAAAAAAACCCCAGGCTGTTAAAAAGAAAGGTATACAGATGACTTAGGATCATAGAAGGGTTTGGGTTGGAAGGGATCTTCAGGACCATCTCATTCCATCCCACTGCCCTGGACAGGGACCCCTTCCACTGGTCCGTGTTGCTCAAAGCCCTTTCCAGCCTGGCCTGGAGCACTTTCAGGGATAGGGCAGCCACAGCTTCTGTGGGCAACCTGTGCCTCACCACCCTCTGAGTAAAAAATGCCCTTCTTAAGACCAGTCCAACCCTGTAATTACAGATCATGGTAAAAAGTTGCCTTTGATGTTTCTTACAAGCCCCCTTTAAATACTCCCTGCAACCTGTGTTTCTCTGGGCTGAACAACCCCAGCTCTCTCAGCCTGTCCTCAGAGGAGAGGTGCTCCAGTCCTGAGATAATTTTCATGGCCATTTTCTGGACCTTTCTCATGGGTGCCATGTTTACAAGCCAGTGCTTTTCAATAACATTAAGAGTCAAGGAGATCTTCCCTAAAATGTACACTGTTCCACTACTGTTGAGATTTTTTCATCTTACCCTGTTTTTGTCAGAGGGAGAACTCAATTAGATTGATCACACTTGTGGTTTACATGGGATTTAATGTTCAAGACAGACTGAGAAGTCTAGGGCAAAGCTAATAAATGCAGCCTTATACATGTCTGGTTCTTCTGCTTGTACAGCTCAGCAAACAGAAACGGAAGTTTTCATCTTTTTTTAAGAGTTTGGTTATTGAACTGGACAAAGATCTGTATGGACCTGACAATCATCTTGTGGAGGTGAGAAAGCTGTGCCCCCTTTGTGTACAAACTAGTTACTGGCACACATTGGCACCTGTTACTTCCCTTGTTTAAGGGACTTTGCATTCATTATCTCATTCACAGTATTTTCAGAGTTTTCAAAATTCCATTATTCTTAAGAATGTTTGCTAGAGGAATCTACTCTAAAAACATAGGTGATGTAGCGCTGCAGTGCACATCTTAGAACAGAATGTATGAAAAGATGAAAATATTGTGCACATTTCTGCTAACAAGTAAAGTATGTTAACAGCAGAGCAGCTTCTGCACTAAAGCTGAATTGAAATGACTGGGGGTAGAGCTGGGGGGTGTTGCACTTTGGTTTTGTTGTTAACTTTTTTAGATTATTTTTTAGATTGCCAGATCTTCAGAAAGCTTGCACTTGTCTGATTCTGGTATGGTACGCTGTGCAAGATGCACCTCCATGGACATCAGTGAAAAAAAGACCAACAATTTTATTTTTCCCTTTGTTAGTGGCACAGAACTCCCACGACCCAGGAGACGGATGGCTTCCAGGTGAAGAGGCCTGGGGACGTCAGCGTGCGATGCACATTGCTCCTCATGTTAGACTACCAGGTCAGTGCACTGCTTTAGCCTGGAACATACAGCCACTGGGACCTAGTGCAACTGACCAAATTCATCTTGTCACACAGCTCTAAACCCAGTATACTTGTATTGCAGTGTCACATGGTCCATTGAAGTTAGAATGATACCAAACAGAAGGATTATTTAAAATTTAAAGGGGACAAATCAAGTGAGTTTCTAATATAGTCAAGCAAAATATTGGTCTTGGCATTATGATAATTAGTATCGTTATTGCCCAGCTGCAGGAAAAACATGCATTTCCTCCTCTGGCTTCTTAGAGAGTAGTCAGAGAGGTTGCACGCAAGTTACGCATGTGGTTCTTTAAAGAAATACAGAGGAGAGGCTGTTGCTAGTGATACCTGAGCTGGCTGTGTGGCTGTGGCAGCCTTACCTTGGCACAAACGATGGATACTGCACTTGTGGAGCTCACTAATCTGACTGAAACCGTCCCTGCAAGAAACACTGCTGTTTAAGGGAACTGTTAATGTTAAACTCACTCTGCTGCGAGGAAATGGGATCCCCCTTTTCCATGACAACTCAGCCTCAGGCGCATTTTGATGGTGAACTTGTTCTCTGCCACCTTCTTTTACCTCCAGGCAAATAGCATCTATTTGGGATATAGGCACTCCATTTTATGTTAGCAGAGAGAAAATTGTATTAATTTTAGGGAGCATATGGGCTAACTGAAATACTGATATAGGCAGCGAGGATTTTTGCTATTAAGACAATATAATGATGTTTTTTATGCTCACCATTATTATAAATTTATACTTTAAAATAGATGTTTTTTTGTTCTTAGATCTGGATTTGTTATAAAGCTAGCTTTGGGTGACCTGCCATCCATCAGAGTAATCCTTGCTTATTGATTTGGTGAATACTAAACCTGAGTATGAGTACACACTTGAAGAAGCATCCAATTCCAGATTATCCAAGGAGTTTATGTTACAAGAGGTGGAGAACAGGGAAGTTGAATTATATCACTGAGATCAGGAAAAGAAATAAAATCTATTGACTGGTTGTAGTTGGGTAAATTTTTTTGGTATGCACCAGAACGGTTCATGCCTGATCAGAGTTCCAAGACAGTGTGTTGGCGTGAGACAGCAGTTATTAGCAGCTGTGGAGGCATCATCCTGCCCTCCTTCTCTCCCTCTGTGGTTAAATTCCAGTAGCTCAGAGGAAGGGCTGTTCTTTTTCTTCTCTCATTCTCAGAAGTCAAATTTTGCATCAGTGTTGAAAGGGAAAATTCTTCCTGAGTCTTTGTGCAAGTTTTTATTATTTGAAGCATGTGCTACAGGTAGTCTGTGTGCGCGGCACACGTACAAGGTCCTTCTCCCTAAGCACCAATGGTGAGACACAAAAATACAAACTTGTATTTTTGCAATCTCAGCCACTGAATGGGATACTTCTCCCAAGGAACAGAGTCCCCCGAGAATTAAAACTGAACCTTCCTCCTTGTGTATCTGTGTGCTTTCCTTTGTGCTGCCGCCTCGTTGGCTCTCTGCTGCAGCCCCCCCAGTTCAAGCTGGACCCGCGGCTGGCCCGCCTGCTGGGCATCCACACGCAGACGCGCTCGGCCATCATCCAGGCTCTCTGGCAGTACATCAAAACAAACAAGCTGCAGGACTCCCACGACAAGGAGTACATTAACTGCGACAAGTACTTCCAGCAGGTAACTCTTGTTCGGACTCAGTAGCTCTTTAGAAGCAAACTCTTAACATCCAGCCACAAATTTGGGATGAATGAAAATGACTGATTTTTGTTTTCCCTTGATGATTTGGGGTATCCTCAGCACTGAATGCCTTTCAGCAGCCACTACAACTAATACCAATAACACCCTCTCCACGTGCCAGTGTTGTCAAAACCAAGAAGGCCACATAAAAGCATCTCCACCCTTTCTGTAAATATGATTATGGGGTTTTTTTGAAAGGTAATGTTAACTGAGCTCTCACTGTCTTACCTGGCTTTGTTTTTTAGGCTCACATGACTTACTCTGAAAGTAATTGAAAGTAGGGTTTGTGATATACTTCTGTGTAAGGAAAATACTGGCATTTACAATGAATGAATAATGTTTTAGCAACCAATCAAAGTAAATGTTGTGATGAAACTTGTGTCCTAGTTTTGTTTTTAATTTTTTATTTTCTGTTATTAATTTGCCCTACAATAGTTCAAAGTAGCCAATGCTTGAAGAAATAAATTTAAAGATACCTCTGCACATTTGAAACTACAAAATGCAACAAAATAATTGTGAGATTCATGGGTGTGTTTAGGACTATAGAACCAAAGTGATCGTGATTATATAGTCACTCTCATGTTTGTTTGGGTTTTGGTTTTTTGAGGATTACAGCATGCAGTCTTTTTCAAAAATAGTGAAAACTCCATGTTAAAACCACATAAGAATTTTTTGGCAAAATGACAATTCTGTTTGTTCTCTTGATTAGATTATTTGATTTCTATTCTTTATTTATCTATAGCCAATTTAGACTGAGTTTTGTTTCTGCCAGCCCAAAGAGGAAATGGGAAGGGGAAGGTGAAAAATATTTGAAAAATCATGAGCAGAAAGAAAAAGGTGAAAAAGGAGTAGTTTTTTATATTTTGGTCAATAATTACAGTCCATCAACTAAAACTGGCAGGTAGCAAATTGAAAACAAACAAAAGGACTCAAGCATATTTAAACTTCAAAACTCCTTGCAAGAGAACATTGCAAATACTAAAAGTGTGTATAGGTTCCAAAAGTGGCAAAGCAATGGATGAAAAATCTTGGGCTGTTTTAAGTGCAAAGCTGTGGAAGTTGGGAGAGTTTTTTTGGGGGGAAGAACCAGTATATGTTTCTCCTGTTATTACATTTATGGTTATTACATTTTTTCCTTTAGTATCCACTTTTGGCCACTACCAAGGGCAGGATAGTATGGTAGATTTGCAGCAGATCCTTTGTGTGACCCTGTACAGATGTACATATTTTATTTTTAGTAAGCAGAAGAGCCTTATCAATTTTATTTATTTTAACTTTCAGTTTAAGAACTTTGTTAGAATAAGAAGTTGTTGAAGCTATCTTCTCCTCATGCATCTCATGAGAGACTGATTTGCTCTTAGGTCTCCTTTGTCTTAAAATTCTGCAGGAATGCTATGACACCTGACAATTGTCTTCTCATCCTCAGAAGATGAGTTAAATGAGAGAGTTGGGAAGTAGCTGATTGCTTTTCTAGAAGACTGAATCTCACACCCTGCAAGAGCTGGATAATCTGGAATAGTTTCACAAGAATTCAGTGCTTGCACTGATTTATATTATAAATGGGATTGTTTTGAATGTTTCCCATTTCCTAGGTCTCTGGCAAAATTGTTCTAATTTAGGTGATCTTGCTTTCAAAACTGACACTGCTACTTAGGAATCTGAATCCCCTTACAATACATGAAATATTTCATGATGAGTTTTTTTTTTTTGTTTTTCACTCTAATACTCTCAGGTTGAGAGATGGAGGGCAAAGGAATTGGCTTAGTAATGCCTTCCAGTCTGCTAATATTTCTGTAGATTCTGTAGTTTTAGCCACATAACTCCTGGAAAGAAAAGCATTGTCTGGGCTGGAAGTGTGTGTATCATTCAGGGGAGCAGTACACAATGCACCAGAGTCCCTGGCATTCCCCTTGCCATACTGGGGCTGTCCAGCTTCTCTGAATCCCACACTGCTGTGCTGTGCTTATGTCTAAGGGCCCGAGAGAGTACAGACTAAACCATTACCACTGAGTTTCCTGACCCGCCAGGATCACTGTAGCCAGAGAGGCTTTCAGAGCCTGACTTAGTTTAGACCACTAACTCCAGTTACGCAGGAATGGGAGAAGCTCTGGGAAAATTCCACCCACCCTTAGTTTCCAGTCTCCCATCCTCCTCTCACTAATGTGTGTCCTTGATCCCTTTTCCCTTCCTAAAGCTCTTGTCACTCGGGCACCATCCGTGTTAGGAGCTTGACACGAGTGTTGAGCCAGGGATGAGAGCAGATGGCACGGAGCTCGCTGTGGAGGTATTGTGGGTGGCAATTCCACAGTCATCTCTACCAAATGTCAGGATTCAGGACTCAAATAAGGAGTGAGCTGCGGACTCAGTAAGTTTTGTTGCTTCCTTGTTCTTCAGAAACTAGCTGGCTGAATTCCTGGATGCAGGCAAGTCCAACACAACTTTTAGAGTTGATGAAGACGATCCTTTTCTGTTTAAAAACAATGTTTACGTTAGCAGGCCAATTTGAAATCCACTGTGTTACAAGCAAAAGCAAGAAAAAAGGTTCAAAGGTATTTCAAAAGCAATAGAACCGTGCAAATGGTTCCTAGAGCTGACTCCCAGGTATTTCTGCTGCCAAATCCATTCACATGAGAAAACTGTGAATTTCAAAAGATACCCTAACTGAGGAGCCAGAGCATCTGACTTTATATGTCTGTTCTGCAACTTGAGAATCCTTTATTTCCAACCCTGCCTGCATCCTTTGTCTCTGGAGCTGCAAAGGATATTTCTGTTTATAGATGCAATACTATGAGTAGTGTATCTCTACTGTCAGGTGAAAACAGTTTCCCTACGAGGCATTTGCATAGGCCTGAACATTTTTACAAATTGCCTCCACACAAGGGCACATTTTAAGGCAAATGTTAATATATAGGTTTTTATACATGTGGTTTTTAAAGTCAGTTTAAATGGAGTATCTTTAGAGAAAAGTCTTCTTGTTCAGAGCATTAAAAATCACAGTAGGAAACAAAGGCTGTAATAATTATACTTCTGAAAACTCCAGGTGTAAAGAGTGTTGTTTCTATATTTGTGCCAATGCACTTCCATTGCTCACAGAAAATTTCCAAACTCTACAGCTTTTAACCCTTTCCAGATTTTTTCCCCTTTCCAGATTTTTTTCCCCCTGAATTCAGCAGAAATTCATTGTGTGATTTCTGGGGTTGTCCTGTGCAGAGCCAGGAGCTGAACTCAATGACCCTTGTCAGTCCCTTCCCACCCAGGATATTCTATGGGTCTATGATTCTATTTAGCTTCAGGACCATAGGAAAGTATCCATAAACCATTGTTTGGAAAGGGGTGGGTCCCTCCCAAGAGGCTGGTCAGGCTTTGGTTAAAAATAAATAATGTCACATTGACTTTATTTTCCTGGAATTCCGAAAAACTCACAAATTTCAAATGGTTTTAAAATCCAGAAATGTTTTCTTGTATTTTTCCTTAGCACAAAATATTGCAGGAAACATTCCCTGGGGAAAAAAAAGACAAACTGTTTTTGTGTTTTCTCTGTTTGTTTTTTGTTGTTGTTGTTGCTGTTGTTTTTTCTGTGTTTTTCTCTTGAAAAAAATTCAGTCATCTTCTTTACAATATGCTGCTGTAAACCCTCAGTAAGAGAGGGAGTATTTGCTTCTCTGCCATCACTGATACAGTTGATCCTCATGTCCCAGTGAAGGGTCCTGTTCCCTCCAGCAGCTAGCAGCTAAACCAAAAGTGAGACACTTGAAATTGTCATGGCCTGATAGGTATGTCTGGGAGCCCAGATGGAAGTAGAGGGACAGAAGTGACCAAAACTTTAATCTGCAAGGAACCTGAATTACAGCTTTCAAAACCACCTTCTGTAATTGCCTCAGTTCCTTGTGAGCTGCAGATTCCTTACTTTCTCATTTAACTGCAAGATAGCCTTTGGACAAACCAAATTTGTTGTTTATTGTGTTCCAGATCTTTGACTGTCCACGGTTAAAGTTTTCTGAGATTCCCCAGAGACTCACTAACCTACTGCTGCCGCCAGACCCGATAGTGATAAACCACATCATCAGGTAAGCTGGTTGGTCAGCTCAGCCCTGGCCTGTGCAAAACACTCACTAGATAAAGTGCAGAAAGAGCTGCAGTAGCTGTAGGGACCAAAATCCAGGGTTTTTTAACTTTGGCATGAACACCTTGGGCTTCGTTGTGTGTCCGTTCTATGTGTCATTCTAGTTTGTATAATTCTGAATTATTTTCACGAGCACAGCATCAATTTTCTAGGAGTATGAAAAGCAGCTTTTATATTTACTAGAATACCATTGGTTGGGCTTTTTCCTAAGGAGAGAGGAATGAAAGTTTGAACCCACAAAAAGAGATCAAAAAGAAATTGAAATGAGGTACTGTCCATCATGGGCAATCATTCCACTCACTGATGTATTATGTAAAATGTACAGCAGCATTATGATTTCAGATGCAAGGCCAGTCCATGCATGCTTTGCTGGGATTGGGTCAGCTCCTTGGCTGTTAGTCTTATCCTGAGAATGCCAAGGAGTCAGAGATCTCCAGAGATTAACAGCACGGAATGTCTGGATTCAGAGGAGGTCATTGTGACCAAGATGCTGAGCTCTCTTGTTTCCTTGTCAGAACAAATGTCTTCCTGGCATAGCAGATGAAACACAACTTTCAGCTCTCTCAGGCTCTTCCAGCATGTACCTTTTTAAGTGACAGCTGTGTACATAGAGGAGGGGGATAAAGAAACTTCTGGGGATTTCAACTTTACTATTCAGATATTTCAGTCCTTTCCAAGTTTCTTTGTCAGGGTCAAAACTCTGATTCCGGATGTTTAAAAGTTATTATTACTTAGGTTACTGATTTGATTTCCTACAGAATATATACAATATATTTTTAAGCAAATGTTTCTGAATTTGCTTAAAATTGGGCTCTTTATTTTAAATTTGTAACATATGTGGTAAGAAGAATAATATGTTAAATATTACATAGGCTATGAAAATGAAGTTTGCTTTTTGATTCATTTGAATGTATCAAGCAGAGTAATGAAAAAGCAGCTTGGTGGCCATGCAGATTGAGAGCTGTGTGTGTACTGTCATTGGGCACAACTCAGTGCCCTGTCTGATGCACCACAAAAAAGCTGAGGTCCTCAGAGATAGATAGTCATTGCTTAGAGAAAAATGACAAGGAACTGATGATTATGTTTCTGGGGCAGAGAGATGACAAAAAGGGACTGGAGGGAGTGGTTTTTGTCAGGTAACCAGCTCAAGAACAGGTGTGTGTCACAAAGCTACAGCTTTGTGTATTCTCAGTGTATTCTCTGATTCCCTGTGTCCACCACACAGCACCTCACAACCTTTAATGGTGCTGACATAATGGTGTGGACAAAGGAAGAACTCATTTCCTGGCAACAGGTAGTACTTTTACAGTGAAGTCTTTACAGTGTTGGGCTAAGCTAAAGTAAATCTGAACTTTAAAGAAAGTAAGTAATTTTTAGACTCATACAGTCACAGAATAATTTACAGTAGAAGAGATTACTGATGGTCATTGAGAGCTCCTCCATCCAAACTCAAATCAGGTTCAAAGTCTGTCCAGGGTACTTAAGGGCCTGCTCCAGCCAAGCTTAAAACAGGGTCTCACAAATGCTCTGCCCTGTCATTCTGCATTCAGTTTTTTAGGGTGAGTGTAATCAGCCATTGAAACAGTATGCCAACTGCCTGTCCTGATTTAATCCAATCTTAATCCATCCACTCGTTCTCTCTCCAGCAGGGCAGGGGCAAGGATTGAAAAGGTAAAAGGGAGAGAAAGACAGTATGGTGATGATGATTATGATGATGATGATGGTGATGAACAAAATCCAACACTACAAGTGATACAGATGAAAACTATTGCTCACCACCAACTGACTGATGCCCAGCAAGACCCTGAGCAGTGAACACCTGCCCCAGTTTACTGCTCACTGTGGTGCCACATGGTTTGGAATATCCCTTGGGTCAGCTGGGGTGAGCTGTCCCAGCTCCTTGTGCACCCCAGCCTCTTCCCTTGGGGGAAGTGTGAGGAGCTGAAAAGGTCTCAACAGGCTGCAAGCAATGATAGCAATAAATATCTTTGGAAAATATCTCTCTGTGACCAACCATTTCCAGCACAAATTCACAAAACAGCCCCATACCAGCTACTATGGAGAAAAATAACTCTATCCCAGCCAAAACCAGCACGCTACTACAGGGAATTTTTCATCACTAGTGATCATAAATGTACGTGCTTGTAATTCAGATAAATCCTCAGGCCTGCCTTTTACAGGAAGATCAAGCAGATCACAATTATTCATTCTAGTTTTAGAGGATATGCACAGGGACAAAAATGCGAAGTATTCTAAACTCATTCTAGAAATTATAGTAGTATTGTAGAATCACTCTCTGGGCACCAACAACCTTCCTTTTTGAAGACAAAGAAGAAACAATGCAATGGGGTTGAAGTGGACATAAAGTAGAGATTCTCGTAGAAATCAAATCTTACCTGAGCTCAAGCTAGAAGTGGAGATTTTCTTGAGTTGCACTCCTAATTGCAGCTGACACACCTGGAATCAGAGGTAAAAAGAATAACCTCTGTGGGATGACCATTTCTGCCAAGAAGCGAGACATCTTCCCCACACATTGAAAAACACAAGCAGACTGCAAAGCATAGCTCTCCAATATTCTTCTAGTACAAACAGATTATCTCTGGCATCTCCCTTTTTGACTACCATCATGATTTTCTAGAAACAATTCCTTATAGGGAGTGAATTGCCCATGCTGCAGCAAGTTTCTGTTGCCTCTCACCCTAATCTCACGCACCTCCAAGGGGAGGCTGGCCCTGTCTGTGCTTCACCAGTCCCCATGGCCATCGCACTCTCCCGGGAAATCTCCTTTCCCCTTTTCTTCTCCAGGCTGGAGAAGCTCTTGCAGCCTCTCCTGGCAGGTCTGTGCTCCAGCCCCCACCGTCCTCTGCAGGCCTTGCTCCAAGATGTCACATCTTTGTGCTCCTGTGCCCACCGGTCCAGATCCAGTTTCTCCAGCGTGGAGTAGGAGGGAAGAGCCTCTTTCCTGGGCTCGATGGCAAAACCTGTGCTAATGCAGCCCCTTTTGCAGCTGACCTTTGCTATGGCTGCCTTACCCTTCAGAGTCCTTCTGCCCTTGTTGTCTGTCCCTCAGGGCCCCCAGCTCCTCTCCTGCCAGTCTGTTTTGTACCCCAGCGATGCCCACCTGTCCCCCTGCCCGGTGTGACTCCACGCCAGGAGCAGAGCTTTTCCTGTGCCCACCTTCACTGTGCTGAGGTGCTGTCCTGTCTGTGCAGCCTGTCAGGGTCCCTCTGCCCAGCCCCTCTGCCCAGGCCTGCCTGGCCTGGGCTCGGCACTCTGGGAGCCTGAGGACAGCACTCAGCCAGGAGCAATGGAGCCAAAGGCAGCGTGGAGCCTTCTCTGTGGCTTTGGACGTGAGCAGCAGAACCAGAGCCGCACCTGGGCTTTTCTTTAGCTCTCCTTCTGCTGCTCATCTTCTTGCTGGCAACCACAGCATCGCAGATTCTCAGAATGTTTGCGGTTGGAAGGGACTTCTGGAAATCATCTGGTCAAATGCCCTGCCCTGCTCAAGCACAGCCACCTGTAGCAGGTTGGCCACAGCCATATCCAGATGGCTTTGGAGTGTCTCCAACATGGGAGACTCTGGGCTGGGGGAAAGGCAGATGGGGTTTGAGGGTCTTACTGCAACTTGTGCTATTGCTTGGTCACCCTTACAGTAGAAACGTGTTTCCTGGTGTTCAGAAGGAACTTCCTGTGTCTCAGTTTGCACCAACTGCCTCTTGTCCTGTCCCTGGGTACCACTGAAAAGATCCTGGCTCTGTCTTCTTTAAACTCTCCCTTCAAGTTTTGGTAAGTTCCCTCCCCACCAGCCTTCTGTTTTCTAGGCTGAATAGTCCCAGATCTCTCAGCCTTTCCTCAGCTGTCAGGTGCTTTAATGCCTTAATCATCCTCATGGACCTTTGCAAAATTCTCTCCAGTAGCTCCCCATATCTCTTGCACTGGGGAGCCCAGCACTGAGCACAGTACCAGAGGTGTGTCCTCGTCGGTCTTGGGAATAGAGAGGGATCACTTTCCTCTACCTGCTTGCAACACTCCTCATGCAATTCCATCCCTGCAAGTTCTTCTGCTCCCCCAAGTCTGTCAAGCTCCATTAGATCCTGAGCAATTTTGTTTTGCTACCTACTGCAGATGCACACAACCCACACATTTGACAGGTGGGGTTGAGAAGCCACCATCTTTATATTGCAAGTGACAGTGACTGAAGTCTGATTTACCAACTACTGCGCTGAAGACTGTTTTCTTGTTAAAAAACTTTAGTCTAACAATAAAGTAAATGTTAAGTCAAAAAGTTGGCAAACTAAAGATAAATTTAGGACAGGACAAGCCAAAGAAGGATACTGATATTTAGTGTAACAGATCTCAGGAGGATGTTAGAAATTAAATTTTTGATGGTCTGGGCAAAAGTTCCAGCTCAAAAGTCTTTGAAATCTAAGTGACAAAAGATGGGAGAATATACTAGAATAGGAAAATATATAAAGATACCTTGTTCTTACACTTTTTTCACAGCATCTGCAACAGGCTTTATTGAAGAGTGAATTCTGGGCTGGCTGGAAATTAATTCTGATTCTTTATGGCAGTTCTCATGATCTTGTGTTATACTCTCCATAGTGTTGACCCCAACGATCAGAAGAAGACGGCGTGTTATGACATAGATGTAGAAGTTGAAGACCCATTAAAGGGCCAGATGAGTAGTTTTCTTCTCTCAACAGCTAACCAACAGGAGATAACAGCATTGGATAACAAGGTATTAGCTCAAGAGTAAAGTATCCCATGGTACATGTACTCCTTGTGTAGCTTCACATGTGTTTGGTGTCAGGTGTCAAACAGCAGTGTTGTGAGATGGGAACTTGTTAAGGGCATGTGCTTTCAAGGGATGAATAAGCCAAATGCAGTGGGAGTACATCAGGGTGAATGGCATTCCCGCTTAGGATTTGATCCAAGGCCTAACATGGTTGTGGAGATGATAGAGTTTCACAGATAGCATACCAAGTGCCCTGATGCTTGAGAACCACCTGAACTGTATGATTAACTTTTTATTGAAAGGTCATGATATCTTATTAAATTGCTAAGGCAAAGCTAGGAGAATCTCATACTCAGGTGTGAGTTCATAAGTGCAGAATGGCTTTTTGCATTAGGTGGAAATATGGAATATGCATGGCAGGAAAATCACTTGGACCACTTTGACAGTTCTAAGTGTTAGGGGAAGAGGATCATGTGCGCTTCAAGTAATAATATCAGTCTTAAGGCAGTGGTGGGTTTTGCAGACTGTTTTAGGGATTCATGTCCATGGAGCTGTCAGCCAGTTCTGGCATTTGTCAATGGCTCATTTGGGTGGGTAAGGGATAAACTAAAATACCTTCTCAGAGCAAGGCCCAGGTTCTCTTTGTTTGCTGCAAATACAAACAAATGTGTTAAGCTCTGGTCCTCATGCAGTTTGAAAGGGAGTCTGGGCATCAGCAATGCCATGGATTCTGGTAACTCTTGCAGCGTCTTTGCTGTCATGGTTCTTGAGGATGGTCCTTGCAGCTGCTCAGTCAGTTGCTTCCCAGCCTGTATAAGCTTGCAAGCAGCACGCACAGGGTTATTCTGTTTCCAGTCCTGCTCACCTTTTCCTCTGGCTGTGTCACCTCTTTTTTGAGTATTTGCGACAGCACAGGGCAAGCAGTGATCAGTGAAGTTCCTGAAGTCACTGCTGGGTGAATGGGCATGGGCTGTGTCCCTCTGTGTGCAGCATTGCTGTGCTGCCGTGGAGTCTCCTCCTGGGAATTCACTGGCACGTGCCAGTGGAGTTCACTCCGCACAACTGCAGCGTTTTCCCAAAGAAGGAATGATTTTAAGTTAACAGCAGCTCTCTTCTCTTAACATACCATGTAGTAGCTACACTAGTGGCCTTGACGGCATAACCAGATCAGGGGATGATTATTTTCTCCCATGTGCTTGGTCACCTTAGCTGTTTTGGCAAAAGAGATGAATGCATGAAACTAAACGAGATAAGTTTACTATTTCAAACTGGAATGTTAGAGGAACAGGGCAGCGGAAGTTTGCTTTTGTGTGTGTCTGTGTGCAAATGGTTCATGAGATGTCCTCCCATTCAAACTTGATGATTATCCATTATAGGACGTTGACTCTTCTTCAGTCTTCATTCTTCCCCACTAGTTAATATTTCTGCCATAATATCTCTAAAGATATTATTAATTTTCTATAAACCTTCCATACTTGTGATTTCTCATTGTTCACACTCTTCTTTTTGCAGCCATTGTGACTTTTACAGGCTTTCTCTTAAGAAAAATCTAGAAGTCATGGCTATTTATTTGACATGGACTTGATCACGAAACTGCTAGAGGTTTTAAGGATTACAGTAGGATATTGAAGATGTGATCATGATGGTAGCCAGGGGAATAACTGCTTTCTTGCACTGGGCACTGCTTCACTGCATATTTATGTAACACCTTTCCTCAAAGATCCCAGTCTTGGCAGGCAGAGTGATTCTACACAGGAAATTATTTCACTGTGCAGTGACATGGCTTAGTTCTGCATGCCATGCAGGGGTTCAGTGCAGGAAGTGAAGGACAATCCTGTACCTATTTGTATTGCAGAAGTACAAGTGAAACTAAAATGTAGTGGCAGGATTGCAGTTAAGTTGCTGCTTTTTTAATTGAAAAAGCCCTAGGAAGGGCTGCACAAGTCTATGGCATAGACTTGTGAACTTTTTACATTACCAGGAGTACAAAGACAGTAACAGAGCTGACCTGATGGTCACTGGAGCATGGGAGAAATTAAAGAATATCCATTTGTTTTTTTTTCTGTCAGATTCATGAGACAATTGAATCCATAAATCAGCTAAAAATACAACGTGATTTTATGCTGAGTTTCTCCAAGGATCCCAAAGGATACATCCAAGACCTTCTCCGGTCCCAAAGCAGGGATCTTAAGGTGAGAAAAGATTTGAAAAAGAATGAATAGTGGAACCAGAATGGAAGAATTTTATCTAAATGTACATAGAGTATATAGCCAAACATCTAGGATGGGTGATTGGTGGAAGACAGACAATGAGTGGAGTGCTGGAATCCCAGAGTAGATAGGAAAGATAGTTCAGGTTGGAGGAAAGATAGTTGAGGTTGTATTCCAGTTCCAGTGGAACAGTGGTGTTTCATGGGAGTGGTAGGTCAATTTGTGGCCAGACAGTAAGTTTGAAATACAGGGCTTTGTATTCTGTAAATTCAAAGCTATGTAAAACTCAGCAGGAGCATAAGTAGAGTATAAGAACACAATTTGGGTGTTGGTTCATAATTTAATCTTATCAGCTGTCCTTGAGCTTATCTTTGAGATATACAAGAAATCAAAATGTAAAGAAGTTCAGTTGTTTGCCAGCAAAAATTAATAATTTGTTCCTCACAGTGTCACATTTTCATCTTTAACTGACATGCCTCAAAATCGATTGTATTATTGAATCCATGAAATTATTTTAATAAAATCATTGTGTCTTTCTTATATATATGCCTATTGTTACCTGAATAGTCTTCCCAAAATCTACTCTAAAGATTATGGTTATTACTATTTATATTGTATTCACAGGGGACAGGAATCTGATAGCATGTGTAAATAAAGCTGACCTGTACTTGAGGGACTTAAAAACAGAGGTGTTGTGGAGCTTCTCTACCTAGATACATGGAATAGTTGTTCAGTTTGCCCTGACTGAGAACTACTCCCATAAGAGCCTTTTCTCTTAAGGTTCTGCCCTGCTGGCATCAGAGTTGTGATTCCACAACATGGCTTTGCAAAATATACCAATAACTATATTTACCTGTGATTCTGTGATGCTGGAGACAAAGTCATCAAATTCTATTTTTTGTAGAATGGTTCCAACCCTCTGCTGCCCTATCCCTGGAGGCAGATTGGACAGGGCTTGGAGCACCTGATCCTAGTGGAAGGTGTCCCTGCCCATAGCAGGGGGCTGGAATGAGATGAGCTAAAGGTCCCTTCTAACACAAACCATTTGATCGTTCTATGACCCTGTTTTGGCAGTAAGCATACATTGTCCACTTGCTTTGGGCTTTGAGAACAGTTCTGACCATTTTTATGTGTCATGTAGATAAATTTTCACTCTGGGTAAATCTGAAAGTTTCTCTATGTGGTGGAAGAGCTGTGGTGAAAAATGGTTTTATTTTTGTCACAGGTGATGACTGATGTGGTTGGAAACCCGGAGGAAGAGCGCAGAGCTGAATTTTATCACGAGCCCTGGTCTCAAGAAGCTGTGAGCAGATATTTCTACTGCAAGGTATCAAAGAAATATCCACACTGCTGACTTACAAATGCATCTCTTGCCACTGAGCAATTTAATCTGCTAAACTGTACAGTGTGTCTTTTTCTTGCAGATCCAGCAGCGCCGACAGGAATTGGAGCAATCTTTGGGAGTGCGTAACACATAAGTACTGCTCACAAGATTCCATTGGCATCGTGACCACCAAACCAGTGGACTGCTCAGTGTTACTTAGCTCACTGTTACACATGGACCTGCTTCCTGACTGGATGAGAACGTGCCGTCAACACACCAGTCAGAACACCAGCTTTAGAGTGACCCTTGGAAATCTTGCCCAGGACAGGTGTCTCAAACCATTCCAAGCCAGAGGCAGCACCATACAAGTGTCAGTGTGAAAGAGGACTAAAGGTTCACTCATCAACGCACATTGTTCAGTTTTAGTGGAAAGTTAGACTCTACACAGCAAATCCTTATGGGCTATGCTTAGAATCATGGGTGGCACCGATGGTGGAGGTTGAGATAGGTGTTCTAGGAGACTACAGATTTAGAGAAATAAATGCAGTTCTTACCCTATGGTACCCAAGAGTCTCAAACAGTAACTTATCTGGGATTAGACATTTTCTTTCTTAGGGGTGGGGATGCTTTATATTCCTGAAGAGAGTTTTTATTTCAGCTGGACCAGTGCAAGAAGCTATCTCAGCATCTGAAAGAACAAACTAGGAGCATTTGCATCCTGGAGTGCAGAGCCCATCTGGAAGAAAGACATCTAGTCAGGCCATCTCTTCTGCAGGTGCAAATAATTTCTCTTCCCCCTGTCCCGGCAGTGAAAGGTAGATTGAGTCACATCTCACTAGATGGGTACGATCTGTACACTGTACTGAGAGAAAGAGAATACTTCCTGGGATAAGAGCTGCTTATGCATCCTTAACATCAGTGGGATTAGCAACAAATGAGGCATTCTGAGAAAACTAAAATAATGTAATGGTGCTTTGCTGATGCCTACCTTTAACACAGCAGATATTAACAATAAGTATATATGTAAAATACCAGATTATTTAAATGTGTCTCTGTGTGCCTGTAGGGTTCATCACTGAAAATAACTTCCTAATTCTTGGTGTAGAATCCAAGAAGCTTAACTTAATGTCACATGGTAGTTTTTTCTTTACTACAAGATGTTAAGAGAGTCCCTAGATTGGTCTCACATTTTGGTCATAGGTGAACTGCCTCTTACTATGAATTATTTAGCTCTCCCATACATGATACGTGCTGGTTATTTTGGATGCTGTTGAGTTATAAAGCATATCAGCCTTAAATAGCACAGAGAACATATCCCTTGGAAATCATCTTCTTTGTAAATGTATGACAAATTCAGATAATGGGAATTTATAGAACAATTACTTGGAAGCAGGGACATCTTCCTTAAATCCTTCCCCTCCTCATTTTTTGTAGTGCACAGATGAGCTGTAATAAAGGCCCAATATAATTTCTAGTCCAAAAAGCAGCTTCCAAAGTATAACTGTCCATTTGATGATGTGGCACTCAAAATCCTCTTCTAGGTTACTCCTTTTCACCTCCATTCTTACACTTCCTTGGAAAGAGAATAAAATTCACATGTGATGTGGAAGGAAGGCAGCTCTTCTGAATAAATGCATTTTTTCTCCAGTGTTGTGTTTTCTGCTGTCTTTGCCAGTTTCTCCCTTAGTTTAACTTAAAAGTTTCTTCTCTTGAGTCACAGAAGACACAGTCTTCTCTTTACCCCTTTATTTAATATCTTTGTTTTCACATTAATAGTGCCATAGCTTTTAGTCCATCCATTGTGTTCAGAGATGTCTTGGAAAATTTACTTTTGATTGAATTTATGTGATGCAGTACTCTCCCACAAAACCTATTGGTGTGAGAAAAAGTACCTCATTGTCTGAGGCCTTTTGCTGGGAATGGCATGATTTGGCATTTTTCCCTTTTGTGCTAATGCCTCTTTTCACAGTGAAGTGTGAAATCCTGCAGTCTTAAACTGGTTCTACTGAGGGACTGTGAGGCTGCCACAGTGATGGACTTGAAACGTTACTTAATTTAGGACTCCACTAATTGGACTGCAAGCAAGCATTATGAGGAGAAAACAGTGGGGATCACTTGCTGCTGTGCTTCCATGTTTGTTATGCTGCTGTGTCCCTGGTGTGCATGCTGCTCAGTGTCCAAAACTCCTGTCTGTGTGTGGCAAACAGAGCAGCTACAGTCAGGGGTGTGCTCAGTCTGCAGGAATAAGGAATGCAGAGGAAAATACGCAAGGATGTGAGAAGGACTGAGATAGATGCCTGCAGAATGTCTGCCAGGGAGTTCTGGGGTCTGAGAGCCTTCCCGCTGAAGTGGAAGATACTTGAGAGCAATACCAGCCATTTGCCACAGCTGACAGCACACTGGAGTCCAGCCTGGATTTAGAGCCTCTGTAGAGTTAATTGGATGGATCTGGTTTCAAGTCTCTTTCAGAGTAAATTAACAAAACTCATGTGGTGTTGGTGCCAATGTTCACAACTGCATCACTGAAAGCTGAGGCTCTGTCAAGCAACAGCATTGTACTGAAATGAGTGTGTGCATGAATCAGCCACTGAAGATGGCCCTGGAGATTGCAGTCCAGAATCTAAATTCCTATATTTCACTGTCTATAAAAAAAACTGGTCACTACCATTGAGTCTTAGGACTAGCTGTCACGTATCTTTCCTTGGGTCAAACTGAGGTTTGAGATTCTGATGCCTTTTTCCTGTGTTCAGGCGCTGTTCAGATCATTTACTGAATCAGAGAGAGAAAAATTTTGTCCTTTGTTCCATAGGTGAAATTAAGAGCTCGCTTGTTTGTGAAACAAAGAAAAACTATTTGAAGATAAGTAATGGTGCAATACTGGAAGCAACTAGAGCAAGTGTTGCTGGAGCATTGAAAATTAAAGGCAGTGGCACTGCAGAGGCAGGTAATTATGGCAGACTGTGAATGAGGAATTTATGTTAAGTTCAGGATGGTTGTCCTTTTGTGCGTATCAAAGATTACAAGAACACGTATTGGGATCTTCGGTTGCCACCGTGCAATACAAATCTATGCACACTGCAAAAAAACATTCTGTGCATAGAAGTAGTTCATGTATAGGTGATAATATAGATTGTTAGAAAATATAGCATCAAACTAGGTAAGGGTTCAATGGAATTCTGAGTGCCAGTAGGAGGGAAACGTATCTTGGAGCAGAAGTGTTAGAAACAGGGTTTTTTAGTCTTCTGGGTTGTTGGCCATGAGGCAGGAATCAGATCAAATGTTTCTTAGAGATTGAAGGGGAAGCAAATGTTCAGTTGTGGAATAAAGAGAAGAATACAACAGTGGGAAAGGAAATGAAAAACGGAGCAGAGTAGCACTGAAGCACCAGAAAGACACAGCACAAGATAATGTGCAAAGTACTCCTGGAAATAGCAGAGCCCACGTGAGTGTGCATTCTGTGTGTGCATGCAGACATGCAGAGCTCTCTGTGGGAGAGACAGTCTCAGTGGTGTGCAGCCTGGGAACGGGGGGCAAGCACAGAACCAAACGCTTTGCAAATAACTTTGAGACACAGTGTCAAGGTGTTTTCCCTGTTACCAGCAGGGATTCAGTTGTTCCACATGGCAGGGTTGGTAGCTGCAGTGCAGACATTGTCTTGGCTGGCAGGTTTCTTACACCACATTGTTTAGAACAGGTGAAAGTATTAGTATATAAATCGATATTGCTGTTTATCCTAGGGCTCCTAATTTTGCCAAAATGCTAATCAGGTGTTAGGGGTTGTTGCTCTGGTTTCGTGTGGAGAACCCTTTTAAGGCAATGCAAAGAGATAAGGAGGGAAGGAAGGCTCTTTTTCCTAAAGAAAGCAGTCTCCTTTCTGTAACTGCTCTGTTATTTAATAAGCTGTGTCTGTTCTGCCAGATCCTGTGTTATAAACATTTTTTCCCAACTCACTGAAGAGAGGAACTCCATTTTAAAAGTACAACAGTGGGTTTGTGAGAGTGAGCAAATACGTGTATAAAGCATAGGGGGAAGGGAGAGAGAGACTCCCTCTACTCTGTAGCCACCCTATCCATTGTATGATGCCGAGTGATTTCTAGAAGAGCCTTTAACAATAAATCCTTTGTTTCTTTGTATCTCCTGCACTAATCCTATGTGTTGTAATGTACCTTGGTTTCTTTCTGCTCCTGCTAATGATCTCTGGTGTTTGGATTTCTCTTCACTTGTGAATGCACACACACTTGCAAACATTGTGAATTCCTTTTTTCACTAGATTCCACCTTCAGCCGTTTCCATACTCAGTAAGTGAGAAATCCTTTCCATTGGAGAGATCTGGCTCCTCTCCTGGACAGCCTAGAGCTAAAGCTTGGATGGTGAGAGGTGGTGTAGGAATTACAGAGTCACCATCTCCATCATCTCCATGTGCCACTGTGGTAGCAAACAAGTGGATACCACTCTATAGCACTTCTCCCTAGCTTCTGCTTAAATTTTAAAAATCAAATGGAGTTTCTTCTACGATGTGTAATACGTTGTAGATCAGGCCAGGAGCTTCTGAAGAGGAGACCCCTGCCCCCTGTCCATTGTCAGTTTGGCAGGGAATATTGTTTTGTTCCAGTGGCTGGATGGAGCTCAGGGGACAGTTGTGGCTGTCAGCTTTGGAGTTTGATTGCAAAAGTCACTGATAAAAAGAATGACAATGAGATTTGTCAAACTGGTGCTTTCAGACCTCCCTTGACATCTTTTCTTTGTGTTGGAGGTTGTTGTGTATTTGCACTACAGGGAATGAATGTCCCCTTCCAAATTCAGCCCAGAAGGTCCCAAGGGCTCTTACTGGGAATATTTCTTCTTTACTTTCTTTCATTTGTGATGACATAATCTCCAAACTGCCAGGAGAAATTCCTTAATTTCAGAGCTTTGGAGCTGGGCTCCAAAAGGAAGGAACCTGAAACTGCTTCTTCTGATAAATCCCTAAGTATGGGAGGCCACATGTAGCTCACTGCCGTAAGCAGCTAGTAACTTCCACGGATATTTTAACTATTGAAAATGGTGACTTGTATTTCCTCTGGGCACAAATGACTTGGTTGTCCCATGTAGAATCCCCTGAAGCTGTGAATTGCAATCCAGAGCATCTTCAGGCTTCTGGTGCTCGGGGCTGTGGTGTTGGTTGTGCAGAAAACATCCCAGGCTGTCTGCCCCAAGTCTGGATGTGCGTTTCCACAGTTCCTCAGAGTGGGGAAAGGCAAAGAGGCTGCTGGGAAGGGCTTCCTCCCAGGCCTGGCTATCCTCAAGACACCTCAAGTTTTGTTTTTAAATGTTTGTTGTCTTTTGTTTCCCAGCCCAGGGCTAAGCTGGAGAAAAGGTGGAGAGAGTAGCAAGTGAGACCTCCCATGTTTAGATCCATCCTTGGATTCCAGGTTCGCCCAGTGGGTCTGTGCTGCCTGAGGGAAGGAAACGTTGGGAGTCCCTGTTTGTTCACCTGTGCAGCTTGGAGGAGAGACTGAGCATGACATTGCAAGGGGGCTGCACTTGTGTAGTGACTGCAGGAGAAGCATCTTGCCCCACGTGTCTCTGTGTGCTTCTGTCCTTACGGTGTGTTTGGCACTCTGTCTTTTTCTCTCTTCTTCCACATGCCTCACTCGAGTTCCTTTTCATTCTCTGTGGTGCTGCCCGTGCCATTGCTCCTCAGAGGATCCTTGTGTCCCGTTCCCTGTTCTTGTTCTTTTTTAATGCTTCTCTGTCGTGCTGCCCATCCCAGTTTGCAATCTTTTGTTTGTTTGGGGGCTTTTGTTTGTCTGTTTCTTTTGTTTTTTGGGTGTTTTTCAATTTCATCCTGCACCCTGTTCTTCCTTTTCTTCCTGTGTCCTCTCTGCTTCCACTCCCTCTCGCTGCCCCTGGCCCGTGACAGCGAGGCTGGGCAGGAACCTCAAGCCTTCTGGGGGCTGCCCCCCCTTTCTTGTTGCAGCAGAATCCCTTGCTGGGGCCATGCACGTGTGGGAAGGGCTTGGGGGAAGCGCTGCGCTGCTGTCCGGGGCAGTCGGATTCGTTCGGAGCCTTCTTTGGGGGTCAGGGAAAGGCGGGGTGAAGACTCGGGGCTCTGATGCCGTTGGGGGCAGCCCAAGGTGCCCAGGAGAGGGAGCCCCACGGCGGTGCAGGAGCAGGTGGGGGGCGGGCGAGGGGCGGGGGTCACGCTGGGTGCCGTCCCCCAGAGGGACCCAAAGCTGCCACCAAATGCACAGGGAGGGGTGAGTGGGTGTAGGATGCTAAAACCTGGCAAGGCATTCGGTTTTCTAGGTATTGCTAAAGAATAGGAATTGGTCTCTAAACTCAGCTGGGGAGAAACCCTCTCTATGCACTCATTTGTTTACAGGAACGTAGAAGGTTCCGACTGGAGATGCGTAGTAGTTCTGAAGATATTGCCGTGAGGTTTTGATCTAGGAACGGACCGAGCTGTGCCCTGGAACCCTCAGAACAGCTGCAGGGGCTGAAGGCGATAGAAAGGGCTCTCTGGCACCTTTTGCCTCCGTTCTCTGCCAGCGCCCAAAGCGTGTCGCAGTCCCGGAAGAGGCGCTTGTCATCCCGAGAGCCAAAAGGAAGACGTGTCAAAGCCCAGCTCTGCCTTGTGTTTCGTGTGGGTTTTTTACTTCGTATTG